GGGTGGGGACGTGGTCAGGGGTGGGGACGTGGTCAGGGGTGGGGACATGGTCGGGGGTGGGGACATGGCCAGGGACGTGGTCAGACACAGATCATCGTTGTCAGGGACACGGATCGCAGTCACGAGTGGGGCCACGGTGTAGCCAGGGTCACGGTCAGGGACATTGTGATGGCCGTGGTCGCAGTTCGGAGCTGGGCCACGGTGCAGCCAGGGTCACGATCCAGGTCAGGGTCAGTCACAGGCGGGGTCGTGTTAGGGACGTGGTCCGAGCTGGCCGATGGCGTGGTCCAGGGTGTGGCCGTGGACGGGAGCAGGGCCTTGGGGTGCCGGGCCGGGGCTCGGTCGCTGTGGGCCAGGGCCGTGGGCCGGGGCTCGATCGCTGTGGGGCGGGGCTCGGTCGCTGTGGGGCAGGGCCGTGGGTTATCAAGCACCAGCACCCGTGTGTACGGGTACCAGGTGGAACGGCCCGTGCGCGTCGCCACCGGAAGGAGCCGCCAGCAGAGGGCCCTGGGGCGCCCCTGCCCCCCCCAGGAGTGTGGGGCTGTGACCCTGGGGTCCGCGGACCGGAGCTGGGGAGTGGGCGGGGCGGTGCCAGGCTGTGGGCGGGCCAGGCTGTGGGCGGGGTCAGGCTGTGGGCGGGGCAGGGCCAGGCTGTGGGCGGAGCGGGCCAGGCCGTGGGCGGGGCCAGGCTGTGGGCGGGGCCCTCGCGCTGGTCTGCTATGGAGCTGGAGGGACTCGGGCCAGGAATGGGGCCTCGCTTGTGGGCGGGGCCAGGTGTGACGCCGCCCAGTTCTGGCTACAGCGAAGCTGTAGGAGTCCCGGGAGGCAAGGCCGTGCGGTGTGGTCCGGTAGGACCCGCGGCTGAGGCAGGGGGATGGCCGTGAGGTGAACAGAGGCCCACGCTCTGCCTTGAGTCAGCTGTGGCAGCCACCCGTGTCGTCTGCCCATCATCAGGGTCCCGGAAGCTACAGTGTGGGGTGGGGGGCCCCGGGCACCCATGTGGGTTGCCTGAGATAACCCATCTGCATGGCGGGGGACGGCCTGGGGCCGGGCCCACTCCTGGATCCACCTGGGCCCCGTGACTCAGTTTCCCGCATCAGTTGGTGGGCACCAGTGTCACACAGCGGAGCCAGGCCTCTCCCAGCCCTGACCCTGAGTCTGGCCGGAGGTGACCTCAGCCTCTGCCTGGGCCCCGCGCCACCTCCCCCCCCCCAGCTGCGTGGGACAGTGGTCAGGGGCTGTGGTGTGGCCGTGACCGTGAGTGTGACCGTGACCGAGGCCGTGACTGTGGCTGTGACTGTGACTGTGACTGTGACCGTGACCGTGACCGTGGCCGTGGCCGTGGCCGTGACCGTGACCGTGACCGTGACCGTGACCGTGGCCGTGACCGTGGCCGTGACTGTGACTGTGACTGTGACTGTGACTGTGACTGTGACTGTGACTGTGACTGTGACTGTGACTGTGACTGTGACTGTGGCCGTGACTGTGACTGTGACTGTGACCGTGGCCGTGACCGTGACAGTGACTGTGACTGTGACTGTGACTGTGGCTGTGACTGTGACTGTGACTGTGACTGTGACTGTGGCTGTGGCCGTGACTGTGACTGTGACCGTGACCGTGACCGTGACCGTGGCCGTGACTGTGACTGTGACTGTGACTGTGACTGTGACAGTGGCTGTGACTGTGGCCGTGACTGTGACAGTGACTGTGACCGTGACCGTGACCGTGGCCGTGACTGTGACTGTGACTGTGACTGTGACTGTGGCCGTGACCGTGACTGTGACTGTGACTGTGGCCGTGACTGTGACTGTGACTGTGACTGTGGCCGTGACTGTGACTGTGACTGTGACTGTGACTGTGACCGTGACCGTGACCGTGACTGTGACTGTGACTGTGAC